CCCCAACCATCATCTCACACAGCCCTCCCTGCTGCGGTAAATGACATATCTATTCATCCATCCATCCATCCACCCATCCACCCATCCATCCATCCCTCCCTCCATCCAGACGCTCAAGCCAGAAACCTGTGTGACATCCATAGTAGCCCTCTCCCCTTCACTGTGTGTTTTAGTCAGGGTGGCTTAGACTGTGCTGCAGTAACAAATCAACCTTAAAATCTCAGGGACTTTGCACTATAACATTTCTTGCTTGCATCTGTCATGGGCTAGCATGGTCAGCAGAGGTGGGAGTTGGAGCTTGACTTTGCACAGTCATTCAGGGATCCAGGGTCCTTCTATCTAGAGATGCTGTCACCCTCAACATGTGGCCCCCAAGGGAGGGAGGACAGCTGTAGATGCCTATGAGGGATGTCTTAGAAGGCTGGTTTTTCACTTCTGCCCACTTACCACTGGGGAGCACTGAGGCACCTGACATGGGCCAGCACTGACAGTCTCTGGCACAGCCATCAGCCACATCCTGCCAGTCTGTCACCAGGCCCTGTCAGTCCTGCCTCCAGACCCTGTCCTAAAGAGGACTCCTCTCCATTTCTGCTGCCATCACCAGATCATTCTCTTTCCTTCCCTCCTGGATGGCTGCTGTGTCCTAGCAGACCTTCTTGAGCCAGCTTTTCTGCTCTTAAAATATATAATCTTCCCCACACAACCCAATCAGATCATGTGACTATGTCTTAAAGCCCCTCTGTGGTAGGCAGAATAATATTCCTACCACCCCCAGATGCCTATGTCCTAATCCCCCAAACCTGGGAATATGTTGTTTTACACACCAAAAGGAACTGTTCATTCATAATTAAGTTAAGGATCTTGAAGTGGGAAGATTATCTTGGTTATTTGGGTGGACTCAGTATAATCACCAGGTCCTTATAAGTGAAAGAAGGAGGTGGTGGGATCAGAGAGAGATTTGAGGATGCTGAGCTGCTGGCTTTGAGGACAGAGGAAGGGGCCCTGAGCCAAAGAATGTGGGCAGCCTCTTGAATCTGAAAAGGCAGGAAATGGGTTCTCCTCTAGGGCTTCCAGAAGAATTGCAGTCCAGGTGACACCTTAATTTTAGCCCAGTGAGACCCATTTTGGACTTGGGACCCCAGAAATATAGGATAGTAAATTGTGCCATTTTAATACACTAAGTTTGCTTATAAACATACAGTGGCGATAGGGAACTAATGGCTTCTCTAAGCATTTAGCATAAAACCTAAATCATTAACGTGACCCACCAGACTATAGGCTCTGTACAGGCAGAGACTGGGGCCTTTCTATTCACTCTTGTATTTCTATGCAGTGTCTGACTCATAATAGGAACTTAATATTTCCTGAATAAATGAATAAATGAGGGGGAGGGGAGTAGGAAAGTGAGAAGAAAACATGAGTAAAAGGAGGAAGGGGAGGAGAAGGAGAAAAGGCATCTTGAAATCTTCCAGTCCCAACAAATTGAGCTTTGTTGAGACTGGAGTGTGGAACATATGGACATATAGAAGCTGGACGTATTCTCTGTGTGTGGAAGGAAAATAAGATGCTGTTTTTAGTTAGGAAAACCCAAGGCTGTCTCAGGAGCCCATCCTCCCAAGCTCTGGGGGAAGGGCCCCTGGGAGGGCTCAGCTCCAGAGCCTCTGGGCAGGCAGTTCCCATTAGGAGGGCAGAGGAGATGAGAGCCCACTGCGCCCGCAGTCTGGGCCAGGCTGGGAGTGGTAACTGCAAGAGAAATGGGCACAAGGGCATTCTGCAACCCCAGTGACGTGGGCCAGAGAGGTGGGCAGGGGGCTGTGAGCTCCCAGTGTGGTCAGGGACATTGTCTCCCAATCTCAGACACTAGGATTTGGGTCCTGGGGTGATGGGGTCTAGTTCTAGGCTCCCCATCTGCCGGGTGCTGCAGGAATTGTTCTTAGGACTCTGGAGGGGACCCAGTCTGGGAACACAAGGAAGTATCAAGAGGGCTTTGAGAGTTGTGACAGATGGATCCTGAGAGCCTCCAGGCCCTGGGGTGGGGTGGGGCACCTTAGCAGATGCCCCTTGGAAGGCAACCCCAGCCACTCCGGCCATTCTCTGGGCACCTGCAGGTCCTGGGTGAATCTCTCAAGTTGGGAGTACCCAGAGACCCCCAGCCTTCACAGTGCTCATAGGAAGCGTGAGTCCTGGTGGAGGGGGTGGCGACTGGCCTGAGACAAGGCTGAGCCCGTGCAGAAGGAGATCAGAACACCAGTCTCGGGGATCCCAGTGCAGGTGCTGAGAGGAGACCTGCCTTTCCCCCAGCTCTGCCCTCAAACATAAACTTCACAGCTGGCTCTGTTTTCAGCTCATGGTATCTAGATGGTCCCTGGCACAAGGCAGGAGCTCAGTAAATAGTCGTTGAGAGACTGCATCCCCCACTCTGCCTCTAACACGGGAGCCCCTTCCCTTCATCCCTTCCCCGCCTGGCCCTGCAGCCCTCCCGCCCCTCAGCCCTCATGACCTGCTCACTCCATCTGAAGCAGCTCTGTGACCCCAGCAACGTCAGCTGGCAGTAGCAGCTGGCTGCGCTAGGGCCTAATGTTCCACATTAAGGGAACATCTGTTGGCTGGGGCTCCTGGGGCATGGGCCAGACACAGCCACGCTCCATGGCCTGTCCACGGTCAACACGGGCCACAGCAGCCAAAGATGTGCTGTTGGGTCTCTTTCAAGGACATGATGTCACAGCCAACTGCATGCTGGCCAGAGTCCTGCAGTGACGGTCAGACAGGAATCAGCGGTAACTGGCCTATTGCTGTGGGACCTGGGGCCCTCCCCCTCATCTGGCCTTCGGTGTCCTTGCTGCTTGGTCGCTTGTTTCCAGAGCTTTCTGTGGGCTTCTGGCTCCCGAACTCTATCATTCCATGAACAGGATGCTGTAGGATAATGAGACTGGGTATGAATTCCAAAACAGTGGGATCTGAATTCCGAGAGACAAGGTTTTCCGCACCCAGAAGCTGGATGCCTTCTGGTCCAAATGGCACCCCAAAGTCACGGACCCCAACAGAGAGGCTGTGAGCTCCTGAGGCCTATCCCAGGCCCCTCCCCTGCCTGGCACCTGCCCAGGCGTCTCCTGAGACCCGTTAGCGGGCCTCGCCAGGCCTTTATCTCTGCTTCATCTCCCCACCTGGGTGAGCCTCTCTCTGAGGGATGATTCTCAGGGACACCTAACGGGAATAATGCAGTTGATGATCGCAGTAGGGAACGGGCATCGAGTGAGCCTGGCGCTGTTCTCAGAGCTTGGCATGTGTGAGCTTGTTAATCCTCACAGCAGTTTGTGAGGTGGGGTGCTGTTGGTCACCCACTGTCCCTTACATGGCACAGAAGCCCTCTCGGTGGCCTGTCTTTGTAGATCCTCAGCAGATGCGGGTCGTCTCCCTGCAGCTCTCCCACACCACACCTTTTGCATTGCTACGTGCATGTCCTCTGCCCACCCTGTGGGTACGGGTTCCCCAGGCTTCCCTCCTCCATGTTCTTCTCACTTCACGTCCTTTTCCTGGGCGAGCGCTCTTATCCTGAGGCCTCAACCCCTTACCCATAGGCCGGAGTGGGGCTGAGCGGTGGGCCGTGGCAGGGTGGAGGAGCTGTAGGAGCCGTCTCCAGTCATCGAGGGTGCCAAGAGCACTGGAAGCAGGGGGCTGGTTGTCTGGGGTGTATGACATGGCCAGACATTCCTTTTCGAAAGCTTGTGGTCACATCCGTGTGGGGTCTGGTGAGGAGGCCACCGAGGAGACTGCCCTGCTCCCTGCGCCCCTGCCCGGGGTGGGGCGTGGGGTGGAGAACGGGGCAAGGCAGCCGTCCGTGGGCTCAGCCCTCCGGGAGTGCACGGACCGAGGACCGGCGGTTGTCTGTGTGCAATTCCGCATGTGAAGTCCGTGGGCAGGGAGAGGGGACAGGCGGCCAAGGGCAGGGCACCCGCAGGCACCTGCATGCAGTCAGGGAGGACAGGGCACGACCCAGTAAGGGCTGAAATTGTTCCTTGGATTTAGCAATGAAGAGGTCACTGGTGACCGTGGTGAGAGGCGTTCCAGTGTGGAGGAGGGACAGAGCAGGCAGTGCAGGGAACTCCACAGAGAGTGGAGGGCCAGAGGGAGAGGTGGGCTCATGGGGAGAAGGGCTGGAGGGGCCACTGAGTCCCCCAGATCTGAAAATCTGGTCGTCAATCTCGACATCTTTCTCTTGCTTGAAGCTCATGTCCAGTGAGTCACCAAGTCTTGATGACTCCTGAATACCTCTCACTTGGTCCTTCCCTTCCTCTTCATCAGCCTGAGCCCCGTGACACTGCGGTGGGCTCCATGGTGGTCTCTGCCTCCTACCTCTCCTCCTACCTCTCTCCTCTCAGGCCTGCACAGTTGCACGTGCTGGTTTCTGCCAGGATGACTTTCCCTCCTCCCGAGGTGACACATGTGCGCCCTCCTCCCAGGCCAGCTCCCCTACTCCTTGGGCAGGGAAGGGGTGGTGGTGCAGCAGCCCCAGTCTGGCAGGGGGCCCTGCTGAGGAGGTGGATCTGAAGTAGGAGCACTGAGTGGTGGTGGAGGCTTCTGGAAGAGGAGGAAGGGCTGGAGGTGCGAGGGGCTGCCACAGAGACCCCTTTGCATCTCACCCTGTCTCTTTAGTGATCCAGCCCTGACCTGGTGTGTCCCCTCCCCACACTCCTGCCAGAACTGCAGGGCTGTGGTGCTAGGTGAAACCAGGTGAGGTCACCCTCCCTATCCCTGGAGCTCCTGAAATGGCTTGTGTCCCAGCTCCTCTCTGAGGGATCTTCTGGGTACAGGGCTGGCCCAGCTTCCACCAGTAAGCCCTGCCTTCCCTCCCTGCAGACTGCTCCCCACCCCTGCAGGGGCCTGGCTTGTGGGCAGTGGAGCACACCTCTATGTGTGTGTGTGTGTGTGTGCATACATGTGTATGTGGGATGTGCATATGTGTATGGCCGGGCCCACGCTCACCATGGTTCTCCTTGCAGGCTGCCCTGGGATGTGGGACAACATCACGTGTTGGAAGCCCGCCCACGTGGGGGAGATGGTCCTGGTCAGCTGCCCCGAGCTCTTCCGGATCTTCAACCCGGACCAAGGTGGGTTCAGCCAGAGTCTCTTCCGGCCGAGCTTGGTCTAGCCTGCTCCCCAAACTTGGCCCCAGGCCCTCCTGGGGGAACAAACCTCGGGGACAGGGGTCCACTCTGGGGACAGATATGCCCTGCTCCAAAGCCCACGTGCCATTGGGGAGGATGGCACCACAGACAGGGAGACACACTTGGGGACGCGTCCCTGTGGGTGGGCCAAGGCTGCGCTCTCATGCAGGCTAGACCCTGGCTCTGTCACTTCCCTCCTTGAGCAAGGCGGTCTGCCCCTCCACCCCAGGTCCCTGTCTGTCGGAGGGATGTGGCCTCTGTGAGGATGTGGTGCAGTGATGCACACGGATGTCCCCTAGCTAGCGCAGGACTTGGCGCGTTTCGAACGTTCAGTAGTAAATGTTAGCTGCTGTTGTGGTCACGATCACTCCTACAGCCAGCGAGACTCTCAGAGCCCGGAGGATGTGTGGAGAGGGACACGCACGCAGACACTGTCAGGCAGAGGGAGCTGCGTGAGGATGGCAGCTGGACACAGGACACCCACGCCCACTCTCACACACCCACTCAGACGCGGGCACAGAGCCCGGCCCTCGCGGCGGGCTGGCGCACACTCGTGTTTGCTAAGCGAAGCGTTTTTGAGTCCCTGCTGCCCTGAGGCAGCTCTGTGGGCTCCGGAGGAGCTGGGGGCCTGGGAACGGTGTCGTCTGTGACGTGTGCATGCTGGTGCCGTCTCTGCAAGGGAAGTCTGGTCACGGTGCAATGTCACGAAGTCTGGGCCATGTCTGATTGAGGTCCCTGGGGGCCACTAAAGCACCGTGGAGGCATGCAGGGGCCCCAGACTGATTTGGGAGTCATGGAGTGGGCAGAGTAGCTGAGCCTGCGAGGCGGCATGTGGGGTGAGGCAGGGGCGGGATGGCAATGTTGTGCCCAAAGGCTGGAAGCCCTGGCGGCCCATTCTCCTTTAGGAGTGTGTGTGAGGGGAAGGGGTGGCTTTGGATGGCTCCTTTGGGGGTGAGTCTGGTGGGTTCTTTCAGGGCGCTTCCTGCCTTTCGGCCGAGGCCCGTGAGCTCCCACCCTCTGTGGGCAGCATGGGAGGTGGGCAGCAAGCTGAGGGCACCGGGCTGGGCCTGGGCAGGGAGAGCTGGTGGGGCTGGCTCCAGGCGGGAGATTTACGGAGAACCACCTGGCAGGGGCTCCTGAGGGGATCAGAGGGGTCTGAGTCCTGTGTGGCTGTGCACAGATCTCTTGCGACCTGGTCTCACCTTCTTCCTTTACTGGCCTAAGGCTGAGGCTGATGTCCTCCTAGAAGGGGCCAGTTTCCGAGCTGCACTTCAGCACGGGGTCCTGCCTCCTGCAGTCCCCTGCCCTCTCTGCCCAACCTCTGCAGTCCCCTGCCCAACCTCGAACTCCAACAACCTTTAATCTGCCCTGGAGGGGAGAGGGGCTTGCAGGAGGTGGCAGGGGGAGAGAGTGGCGTGTGTTAGGGTCTCAGGCCCCATCTCTGGCTCCCCTTCAAGGCCAGAAAAAGGGGTTCTGTCTAAGGTGCATCCCATATCTTCTCATCCCCCCCTCCCCTCTGGGGCCCACCAGCCACACCTCCACCTCCAGGCTTCCTGCTGTCACAGGAAGAAGGTGGGGTGAACTCTGCCATCACCAGGGCTTGGGGACTGGGTGTGCCCCTGAGCGGGCCAGGCCCAAGGAGACAGGTGGGGAAGTGCAGGTGAGAGGCCCAGCGTGTGGTGATTCAGCCTCAATTTCTAATTCACTCCTGTAGAAACCAACTTAATCATTTCCTCCACGCATGCATTCTTTTCATGCAGTCATTTATTTCAAGTTTATTGAACATCTACTCTGGGTCAGATTCCATGCCAGACTGCTTCTTTTCAATAACAACAACAAAAGGCAAAATGAATCAACAGTGAAACAAGATTTCCTGAAGATACGCTTTCCTCACACTCCGTCCCTCCCTCCCTCCCTCTGGCAACAGGCAAAAGGGAGGTGTTATTTACACTTCTGATTTTTAATGGTTCATTAAGGCAGGGCCTTTTAGCATCTCTGATTGGTGAGACTTGCCTTAATACTTGGAAGGGAGAAAAGGGAATTCCTACTTTATTTCCTGGCTCCTGGGTGGTTGGAGCTGTATAGATATTGGGGCTCTGGAGATACAGGTGTACGAACCTCCTCCTCCTCTCAAATGCTGCACTCCTGCTCTGGAGGTGGAAATGGACATCCCCAGTGTCCCCAGCTTGTGGTCCTTGTGTTTTCTGGGCCCTCGGCAGAGCCCCTCTCCAGAGTTTGGGGCTGTGGGGAGGGGGTGATGAGCAGGGTGCACTGGGAGCAGCCCCCGACTTTGGCCCCTGCTCATCTCTGTGTCCTCTCCCTCTCTCTTTCTCTCTTTCAGTCTGGGAAACCGAAACCATCGGTAAGAGGAACCTTGGTGAGGACAGACCGCTGTCCATCTGTCTATCTGTCCATCCAGCAGGAGCCTACCCTCGGGAGAGCCCAGGCTCTGGCATGGGGATTGGGTAGGGGTGGAGTGAGAGTCTCGCCAGGGGTCGGGTTCCCCCTCCTCCCTGCCCCCTCCCCCACCGCGGCCATTGTGGAGGTGGGGGCACAGAAAGATGCAGGGCACAGCTCTTGGCCTCACAGGCTTGTTTGGGAGGATGAGACTCACCAGTGGAGGGGTTAGAAAGCAAGGCCACACGTGCGCGTGCACGCATGGAGGTGCCTACATACAGGCCTGCACATGCGTGTGAGGCTGTGCAGATGCTGGCATGTCTGATGGCTGGCTGGGAAGCTGGCATGCGCACTGAGGCAGAGAACAGAAGAGGCCCAGGGATGCAGTGCCCAGGCAGAATAGCGAAGAGGTCAGGGGAGCCTTCCTGGAGGAGGTGGCGTGTCAGCTGGGCCTTGGAAACAGGATTTTGAGCAGTAGAGGGGAAATGGGGGTTCATTGCTAGCAGGGGATTCGGCAGAAGGAAAGGGTAGAAATAAGAATAAAGAGTAGAGAGAGAAGGAGAAAAATGTCTGAGGGTGAAGTCCTTGGGGCTCTGGGTTCCCTTGGATGAAGAGTAGTTTTGGAGGCCAAAAAAGTAACCACAAACCCTGGGCCCACGTTCTTTGCTGTTCTTTGCTCTCTTCTCGAGAAGGTCCACACATTGCATCCTTTTGCGTTGTTCTGTTTTCTCCCATTCCTCCCTACCCTGGAGGCCCCGCTTCCTCTGGGCAGTGCTCTGGTGGTGGGAGGCTGAGTCGGGGGCCATCCTGAGCAGCACAGACATGCACACCAAATGACACTGGTGTCAGCAGGTGCAGTGTGTCAGAAAGGCACACAGCCTCTGTGTGTGCTGCTGCGTCCTGGCCAGGACCCCACCCCTCACTTCCTGCAGACCAGGGGCAGCCGTGGCCTTCCAGGGGTGAGAGCAAACCGTGGCTAACCCTGGCAAGTTGACAAAGCCGGCATTTTGACACATGCCCATGTCTGTATTTGCAGGGGAGTTTGATTTTGCTGACAGTAACTCCTTGGATCTCTCAGGTAAGGGGACAGGCTGGGGTGGCAGCCCACAGGCAACCCCACCGTGGGCTGCCTAGAGGGAGGGCTCTGCCGATGTGTGAGCTCTGAGACCCCCATCCAGAGCCCCTCTGTGGTTTTGGGATCTTTGGCAGGTCATTTTTCTTCTCTGATAAAGCTACTGATTGTCTCCATGGAAAAGCGCGCAGATAGAACATAGTGCGTAGAATTTCGGGGGAGCCAAAACGGGGCTTAAAGTCCCTTTTTGTGGACTTCACATGGAAGATTCCTGGATCAGATGGTCCCTGGTAGTTTTTGAACTCCATGTAGAACAGCGGTTCTCAAACTTTCAACGGTGCATCACAGTCACCTCGTGGGCTTGTTAGAGCACAAGTTCCTTGACTCGCCCCCTTTCCGGAGTCTCTGCTTGCACGGGCCCAGGGTGGGGCCTGAGAATGTGCGTGCCAGGCACTGCTGAGGGGCTCATCAGGGGAGGGCACCCACTTTGGGAGCCACTGCCCTGAGGTTTTGTGCACCTATGCAGCGGCTGGGGCCAAGCGGCCTCGTGAAGCAGGCACAGTCACCGCAGGGTTTTGACTATCTCAAGAACACTCCATCTTCCGGAGATTTCTATCGGAACAATGCAGTGGCACATTCACAGAACAGTTCTGAACAAAGAGGTTTATACTTCTCCGAGCCCACACTGTGTTATAAAAAGAAAGAAAGGAAAAAAAAAACAACAAAAGAAGGAAAATAAAAGAAAGGAAGTGGCTTTTCCATGTAGGACACTTTTTTAAAAAAAATTGTTTTTCAGAAAAGCTTCCCTTTCCTCTTCCCACCACCCTGATGTGGGCAAAGCAGAGAGGAAATGAGACCCAGGGAGGGGAGGGGACTTGGCCACGGCAGTGATTCCCCGGCGACATTCAGCCTCTCTGAAAGAAGTGTTCAGAGGAACTTGAAAGGAGGCTGCCTGAGGCAGATTTGCTGGGCGAAGGGGCAGTTTGGCATCCGAGGCAGGACTGGGGCAAGCCTCGTTGCCGTCCCGGGGCCTGCCAGCCTTCCTCCCATTCTGTGTCATGGAAGTCGGCCCTGGGCCGGGGTGGAGACCAGGCTGGCCACCGTGGGCAGAGCTCTCCTGTTTTGCAGGGTCGCCTCCTCTGCCGCGGTCTCAGGAAGTGGGTTTCTGACTTGGTCAGAACTGGTCTTAGCTCTTCCACCTGCACGAGGGGAGGACACAGGTTGGCAGTGTGGAGGGATCTCCTCCCACGGCCTCTGGCTCCTGCTGCACCTCTCCCCCCGCCCGCTGCCCTCCCTCCTCCTTCCTGGGCTCCCCAGGGGTGGCCTTGGCTGCAGAGGGGAGGATCCTGTCCCACAGCGTGGGCGCTGGGGCCTCTTTCCTGCAGGTGTCTCTTGTTTGACACCATTTCCTGAATGCCTTGAAGGGAAGAACCGTTCCATGTGTCCTAACCCATCAGGTAACCTCCCAGGAAGCCAGTCTGGGAGAGGCATTGGTCTGGGGCCATGCCCAGGGGCTGGGCCAGAGGAAAGGGGGGCTGCTTTCTTCCTCCCTCTCCTGGACATCAGTGGCCCATGCTTACACACCACCTGGGGAGAGGAGAATGAGAAAGCTATCATAAAAAGCTGAGAAAAAGTAGCCCTGAGCAAGGTGAAAATGAGCCAAGACTGTCCTCTGCAGCCAGCAAATAACTGGCTGACCTCATGTCCTCAGGTCATGCCATGGAATGGCCTTAAAGTCAATAGGAGATCCAGCCCTAGGTTAGGGGAGGTCTGGTCCTTGTGAATTAAGGAGGTCCTGTGTCTCGTTAATGTGGGGTGTTGTGGCTGCTGGGAGGCCCAGAGCTCCAAGAGGAAGCGTCACCTAGAGCTGTGCTCTCGAGGTGTGCAAGGACCCACACGGAGTCCCTGGGGTGGGCCTGGCAGTCTCCTAGGTGGTGGTTCTGCACATTGACATTAGGGAAGTGCTGATCTAGGGCCCAAGGAGGGCTCAGGCCTTTGCCTGGTGAGCATGTGGGAATGTTTCAGAGGGGAAGGATGCCGGATGCTGGTGCAGCCAGCTCAGTCTCTTCTCTCGTCTTTGGTTAAGAGATCAGCTTGTCCCTGTCTCCCCACCTCATCTCTCACCAGCAATCACTGATTTCTTGAACTTTCTGCCCCATGCTTCCCAGTTGAGTATATGGGTTTCTGGGAATTCCCACTTAAGAAGTAATTTTTGCATTAGCGTTGTGGGGCCCTCTTCAGTCATTTCTGCACGTCATCGAGTTTTCTTTCCCCTGCAGACATGGGGGTGGTGAGCCGGAACTGCACAGAGGAGGGCTGGTCGGAGCCTTTCCCGCATTACATTGATGCCTGTGGGTTGGACGACTATGAATCTGAGACGGGGGACCAGGTGAGTGGCTGCACCGTGGCCCCCAGAGGTGGTGGGGGTGGCGCTGAGGGAACTCAGTTTTCTTGGCAGCATTCTGAGCACCTGCTGTGCACACAAGCTGGATGCACAGAGGGCAAGACATGCACTCACTCTGCAGGGCTGAGGAGCAGCTCGTGTGCTCCCGAGCCTCCCTCCTTCCCTCCAACTCTCCCAAGACTCCGGGCCCCGCAGGGGGCTTCCCAGACCTTTCTCCAGGCTAAGGCTGCTGTCTGTCCTCATAGGTCAGCGCTCGTGCCTTCAGCAAGCATTTGTCGAGCATCTCTAGAATGCTCATGCTGTGCAGAGGGGCGTACACAGCTCAGCCTGGCTAGGGGGCGGTGGAGGTCATATGAACAGGAGCAGAAGGGAGGGAGGAGGAGATGGGCTGGGGGTGGGCAGGTCCCCTGGCCTGGGAGACTGGGGGCAGGCCCCCCGTGGAGCCCTGCATGTGCTGTGCCCTGCTGCAGGATTACTACTACCTGTCCGTGAAGGCCCTCTACACGGTTGGCTACAGCACGTCTCTCGTCACCCTCACCACCGCCATGGTCATCCTGTGTCGCTTCCGGTGAGATCCCCTGCAGCATCCGAGCTAGAGCAGCAGGCCCGGGTCTCGGAGGCCTTGCTCTGTCCCCCTCCACTCCCCGCCCCAGATGGCAGCCCCTGGAAGGCGGTCCCCCCACCCCTAGGATAACAGAGGGAAACTTGGCCCCAGAGAGGGTAACTGACTTGTCCCGGGGCACACAGCCCGCAGAGCCTGGGCAGGAGACCTGCATCCTCGCTTTTACCTTCCTGCTCTGGATGGAGAGAGGCCACAGGAGGGGCAGGCCTGGCTATGTGGAGTAGAGGGCCAGACTACAGGCCCTGCGAGTCAGTGAGGATTTAGAGAGGCGGCAAGAAGGGGGTGGCCGCGGTGGGGCCCGTTAGATAAAGCCGTGGACTTGGCCCAGAGCACAGGCCACCAGCACGGAGGTGTGAAATGCGTCAGGTCATTGCTGTGGGGTCCAAGGCTTCTTCCTCGCTGGCCCGCTGTGTAGGAAGCTGCACTGCACACGCAACTTCATCCACATGAACCTGTTCGTGTCATTCATGCTGAGGGCCATCTCCGTCTTCATCAAAGACTGGATCCTGTATGCGGAGCAGGACAGCAACCACTGCTTCATCTCCACCGTAAGTGAGCCGGGCGGGCCCAGCGGACCCCTTCCAGCGGGCCCCTGTGTCCTCCTCCCAGCGCCCCAGCAAGCGCTCTCCCTGCCTGACCCACAAAGGTCAGGTGTGTTCCGGCAGGTGCAGGCATCTCCCCGGTTTGCGTGGAAATTCAAGAATCTCCACCGAGTTACTAGTAGCCTGGCGGGCTGGATTTTCAGGGTTCGTGTGGGGAGACAGGGGAGAGGAGCTCATGCCTTCCTCACGCTGGCGGTTCTCCGCGCAGGTGGAGTGCAAGGCCGTCATGGTTTTCTTCCACTACTGCGTCGTGTCCAACTACCTGTGGCTGTTCATCGAGGGGCTGTACCTCTTCACCCTGCTGGTGGAGACCTTCTTCCCCGAGAGGAGATACTTCTACTGGTACACCATTATTGGCTGGGGTAGGTCACTGGCCGTGGCCTGGACACACTCAGGCCTCGTGGCCAGGTGTGTCCTTGGTTCCATCTTCAGGGAGTGTCAGGTGAGGAGTGGGCACTGCCCTGCCCTAGGCTAGTGGCCTAGGGGACCCTTTTCTTGCTCTTTCTGCCTGGAGGATGCCTCTCCCACCATCTGAGGGAGACATTATGCCCAGGAGTCCTTCTGGGAGGCAAACTATCCTGGGGAGAGGCAGAGACCCCCAGCAGGCTGGGTGTGAGGAACACTTAGGATACCCTACAACTCTGAGTCTCAGAGTGGGGTGATGGCCCCTGGGAGCCCCAAGTCTGAGGAGGACACTGGGAGTGTTGGTTTTCCTGTCATCACAAGCCTCCTTTCCTTGTCTTCTCAGGGACCCCAACTGTGTGTGTGACCGTGTGGGCTACACTGAGGTTCTACTTCGATGACACAGGGTGAGTACATATCTGAGAGTCAGGGCCAGGGCACAGAGCAGGTTCTTGCAGTTGGGCTATCAGTGGCCGCCCTGATTTCACATAGCCTGCCCCCAACAAACCATCCAGTGCCAGGTTTGGGCACCACCTGAACCCTGACCTCAAGTGAGTGACCCACCCAGCCACGTCTCAGCTGGCAACCCCAGGAGAGAATGCACGAATTTTTTTAGCCCCTCCCTTCTGGGCCCAGATCTGACTGTCTGTTTTTCTTTTACGGAGGGGAGGAAGAAGGTTAAGGGGACGTTGTACCCTAAGAGCTGTAGGTCTGGAGGAGAAACATGGCCCTTTCCCAGGAGCCCATTGTTGACGCAACTCTTGGGCTCTACTCCCTGCCTTGACAGGGAAGCAGAGAGAAAGACCAAGGCTTATTTCAGAACCAGGACCAGGCTGGGGTCTGCAGCCCACTGGGGACCCCTCCCTGTGGCTAGCCCCTCCTCAGGGACTTGCAGGGGAAGAAACATGTTGGACTCCCAGCTAGGCATCCTGCAGGCATCTGGGCCAACCCCCAAACATGATCTCTCTTCTCTCTGTCTGTCTGTCTTTCAGCTGCTGGGATATGAATGACAGCACGGCTTTGTGGTGGGTGATCAAAGGCCCTGTAGTCGGCTCTATAATGGTGAGTGTCCTTGGAACCTCCTTCTTTTGTCATGGCTGCATTATATTCTGTAATGTGACACATACATTATTTAGCTGTTCCCCTAGTGTTGGACATTTATATTCCATTTTTCCTCAGTGCAAAAAATAGAAATAGTTTCGTGCGTAATTTTGAGCGTGTGAAAATATTTCTTTAGAGTAAATCCCCAGAAGTGGAATTGCGGGGTCAAAGAGGGTGTACGTTTAACATCTGAGATCCCAGATTGTTTCGCAAAAACCCTTTAACAGTTTTTACCTCTCCAGGAAGGGTGGCTCATTTCCCAATATTATTTTCTACACTTATGACGTCAATCATTTAAATCTTTGGACAGTCTTATGGAGGATAATGGTAGCTCATTGTTTTAATGTGCATTTCTCCATCTTGCTAACGTGACCGAGCATTTTTTTTTCTAGTCATCTATCGACAATTTGTTTTTATTCTGGATATTTCCATTTATTTCTTTTGCTCATTTTTCTATCACATTTTATTTGTGTTTGAAGGATAGTAGCACTTCCTTCATTACATATGTTGTAAGTGTATTGCCATTTCTGCATAACTTTTATACCGTCAGATCATTGGCTTTCTGTTTATGAATTCCAAGCCTTATTTCTTGTTTACAATGGCCTTTCCGAACGTAAAATATACAAATATTTGTATTAATTGTTCTGTAACACTTTTGTGGATTGTATGTCTTTAATCCAGCTGAAAATTTATTTTTTTGTCTGGTCTGAAATGGTACTTAATTTTATCTAATTTTATTTTTTTGTAATGGATGAACATTCCACTCTCTCAATCCTTTTGTTGAATCTTTTCTCCATTATGTTGAAATGTCGTTTTATTATAAGTACTCAGTAAACTCATCTTTGGCTCTGGAATTTCTATGCCATGTCACTAATCTATTATTTGTCTCTTCTCATGGTAGATTTCCCTTTGTGCTAGTTACTATGACCTTATCATAGGTTCTGGTATGCAAATTTCCCCTTCATTATTCTTTTCTTCAGAATTTTCTTGCATATTTAGTCTTTCAGGTGGACGTTTGAATACCCTTGTCAAGTTGCAAAAAAGTCTGGTTGAGATTTGTATAGGAGTTGAGTTGAATTTATCATAGACTAATTTGGAGGAGAATTGATTTTCATAAAAAATTGAGTCTTCCTCTCAAAACATGTGGTGTGATTTTCCATTTATTCAGTCTTTCTCAGAGAGTCATTTTGGTAAAAATTTTTTAGTTTTCTTCCTTGTTCTTCTTATGTTTACCTCTAAGGGGTTTTCTAGTTTGGCCTTTTATTGGGTCTAGGAATCATTCTTGAATTATATTTTCAAATGGGCTGCTGTTGGTATATAGGGAAGCTTTTGGCTTTTGTGTATTTTTCTTTTCTTAGTTATGTTTCTGAACTCTCTTACTAGTTTTTATCCCTTTTCAGTTGGTTCTCATGGATTTTCTAGGTAGAAAATTATACAATCTTCAAATGAAAATAGTTTTTGATTTTCCTTTCCAATATTTTTATCGTTTGTTTCTTGTTTTTGTAGGAATGATGTTTGTTTTAGTTTTTAACAGTTACCCCTTATTGAATTTTTCTTCCTGGCTTGTTTCAGTATGTATTCTTTTTTTAAAATCAGGAATGAATGTTGAATTTTATCAAATGTGTTTTGGAGACATTCATTCATGTGATCATTCCCTTAATGATGGACATTTATAGTATTCCAATTTTTTTTCATTAGGAACAATGCTATAATGAATATATCTGTGCATGCATTGAACATGTTTGAATATGTCTTTAGAATAAATCTCTAAAAGTGGAATTTCTGGGCAAAAGGTATATTAATATATACATTTAACATTTTCATGGGTATCAAATTGCCCTCTGTGAGCAAAGTACAAGAGTGTTTATTTCCCATGTCTTTGTTGATGTTTCTATTACTGAACTATTTGCCCATCTTATGGAGTATAATGGAAGTCTATTGTTCTAATCTGTTATTGTAATTAATATTTGTAGATTTCTTTTTGCGTTTCCGAGATAAAACTTTTATGACCATGGTCTGTTTATTTTTTTAATACACTGTTCAATTTTATTTGTTAGTATTTTGTTTAAAATTTTTGCATTGTTCTTCATAAATTCTATGGTCTCAGATATGTATGTATGTGTGTGTGTGTCTGTGTGTGTTGTCTGTCCTTGTTTGATTTTTGTAGCAGGATTTTGTTAGCCTCATAGGTAATCTGGAAGGTTTTCTTTTTATTTTGTTTGAAACAATTAAGTAGCATGTAAGTTACGTCTTTCTTAATGTTATTCTAAAACTGGTCCATAAAATTATTGGGCCTGGTGCCTTTTTCTGCATACCTCTTTGAATACTTTTTTTTTTTTTTTTGAGACAGAGTCTCACTTTGTTGCCTAGGCTAGAGTGAGTGCCGTGGCGTCAGCCTGGCTCATAGCAACCTCAATCTCTGGGGCTCAGCGATCCTGCTGCCTCAGCCTCCCAAGTAGCTGGGACTACAGGCATGCGCCACCATGCCCGGCTAATTTTTTGTATATATATTTTTTAGTTGGTCAATTAATTTATTTCTATTTTTGGTAGAGATGGGGTCTTGCTCAGGCTGGTTTCGAACTCCTGACCTTGAGCAATCCGCCCGCCTCGGCCTCCCAAAGTGCTAGGATTACAGGCGTGAGCCACCACGCCCAGCCTGAATACTTTTTAATTTTTTTTTTTAGGTTATTGCACTACTTAGATTATCTATATTTTCTTAAGTTGATTTTGTTATTTTTCTATTTTGTTCAGTTTTCTCTTATGATTTAAAATATCATCTACATCTGTTATCTTGCCCCTTTTCTCATTCCCAAATTTGTTTAATTATATTTTCTCCTTTTTCATTGACTGACACATGCAGTTAGCAGTATTTACTGAGCTAAATGCCAAACACTGATTAGACACTGGGCATGTAGTGGAAAGTAAAAGTGGCTGAATCCTGCCCTCATGGAGCACATTGTATCATTCTAGTCTGTAAAAATACCAAATAAAATAAAAATAAAGCTATCTGTGTTAATCAGGTTGCCAAGTTTTTCCTATTTCCTTCTTATGAATGTTTACTTTTATTAATTACCTTCTTGCATTAGTTAAATTTGATTTGAATGCTTATTTTTCAGCATTTATTATTTTTTAATCAGTGAGTTTTAGGCCCTCCATTTTGTTCTCCGAGGGCTGTTTTTGTTCCATCCCAGGAATGTTGATGTGTTGTCCTCTCATGGTGCCTTGTTTCTATTTATTTGCTCCCCCTCCTCCTTTCTCACCGTTCACACAGCTTCCCACTTTGTTTAGAAAGCTTTTGTCCCTGATGCTTTTCTGAAGGCAAATACTGCTACTGCTACTCCCAGGCAGTCCTTTAATTAGCAACGCTTACGGCTGTCCATTCTGGTTCCCTGTATTCATTGACTCTGGACCTGGAATGTCTCCAGGTAACAGCTCTCACCTCTGCAGTGCCTCTTCTCTTTCCCTTTCTGGTTGTAGTTGTTCCATCACCCTGATCCTATCTTTCTCTCTCTTCCAGAAATTGCTCACTTTTCTGGCTAACTCATGATACTCTTTCCTGTATCCCAAGTACTCCTATAGGATTCTTTTTCTTTTATCTTTTCCTTCATTTGAATGATACTGTGGGAGGCTGGGGAGATAAACCAGCATGTTCATGCCGCCATCTTGGATTAGAACTGGAGAGGGGGATCTTGATTGGATGGAGGGAGGGTGCGGTTGGGGGAATTATAGCCTATGCAGAGGCAGGGGTATAGAAATCTTTGCCCAGAATCATATCCGCCTGCTTTTTCTTTGCTCCTCAGGTTAACTTTGTGCTTTTCATCGGCATCATCGTCATCCTTGTGCAGAAACTTCAGTCTCCAGACATGGGAGGCAATGAGTCCAGCATCTACTTGTAAGTACCATTATGTGGATATCACAGTCATTTCCAACAGCCGTGTGGGCCCTGCACTCAGGTCACAGGCAGGAGACCTGGGCTTTGCTGAAAGGGTGACCTAGCCTGGGCATTTGCAAGATTTCTTTTTGATTACAGTGCCTTTAAAATACAGTTGCCCTCTTAGCCTTCAGCCAACCTGGGAGCTTCTCATCTGCATGGCCATCAAATAGCTGGGGAAAGACAGAGAGACTGACAGAGCCTGTGTGACACCAGGAAAACCAGGATGGAAAACGTCAGATTCCCTAGGGTGGTTAGGGTGTTGGTTGGTTGGAAGTTGGGCTTCCTTTGGGGATCCCGGTTCTGTGGGAAGCTCGTGAACACCCCCGGATACTCTGTTGCCTACTGTGCCCCTCCTTGGGCTCACCTGTGGGAGTCACTCAGTCTCCACCAGTGAGTCAGGTGGGCATTCTCATAGGTCCAGGTGTTGAAAAGGGGCGTTTTTCTCTCCTCCACCGTCCTTCAGGGCCGCTCGCCCTCGACACATGGTCCTACTGCCCTAATCAGCTCCTTCCTGAGTAGAGGAACATCTGATTTGTTCGACACCGTTGAGTTCAAGGGCAGCCTCTTACCACTGAGCATGGGGCTTTGTCCACTTCTGTGGCCATTTGATTTCCGAGAAGCGTTTTTCTCATTCATGTCCCAAATAGCTTATCCCTGCATGCCCTGTCCCACCCCTGTCCCAGGCCCGTCCCATTCTGAAATCAGGCAGAGCACCTTCCACCTCGCCCTCCTGGCTTCATGAATAGAAGCATGACCAGCTGGGTGTGGGGGGTGTGGGGACATTTCTGATGCTGGGGAGGAAGGTCCCCTGTGGTTGGCTGGAGGGGCTGATGGGCACTGCCTGACACTGAGGGCAGTCCCTGGGTTCTGTCTATTGGCAAGGCAGCAGCGATAGGTGTTGCTTCCTCAGTTCCTTGAGAAGAAAGCAGGTTAGAAGGAGCTGAGGTACCTTCCCTGCATCATTGGGTACCTGGTCCTGCCTTCACCAGACACTCCAATCTGGGGCTCACAGTCCTGATGGCTGCTCAGTGGACAAGAAGAGGGGCAGTTACAGTTCTTTCTCTACACCCCCAGCCATTCTCCTAGAGAGAAATAGGGTTGTTTGGAGACCAAACCCCAGATCCTTTCCTAAGGCTTCTTGGGGCTTCCCCAGAAGGTGGAGCTTGTTCTCCTTGCCCTCCCCGGTCTGTCTGTCTGCTCAGCCTGGGTCCCTCCCCCGTGGAAGCCCTTCCCCTGAGGGTAGGGGTTTCGTGCAGAGCCCGTGCTGTCCGGACATTTTCTCTGCCTGTGTAATGATTACATTACATTGGAAAAGACACATTTTTTTTTTTTGCTATCCATTTATTGTCTTTTATTTTTTCATGTTTTTGCACGTTTTTACCAATCCCTGCTTATATGTGCGTATTATGTATTAGAAAATCATTCATCAATGTAAGTCATAAAGACTCAGAGGCCCTGCACAGGGGGGCAGTGTGGCCAGCCCTCTGCTCCTACCTAACCTGCCCTAGAGAGTCATTCCAGCCTTCATAGCAAAGGTTCACAAAGGGGGTCCTGCTGCTGCCTGCACCTCCCTGGCCGCTGTCGGGAACTGTGTCCTTGGGTCTGCCTCAGTCTCTCCCGCTTGACCGAGGATGGCTCCCATACTAGCAGTCGTCTCCCGAGTTTGAAGCTGGCGGGTGGCTGAGTCTGCCTCCTCTGTCCTTTGAGTAGACTCTGTTTCCTTTCTTTCCTGGTGGGATCTGTTTCTTCTTCTGAGATGCCCCAGGACGTCTTCTCTGGGGGGTCATCTCAGCTTCCGCTCACTCTGCCTGGGTAGGGACACATGCAGGGGCTCAGCCTGTGCCTAAATAAGGATACTGACCCCTGCTGCACACTGAACACACTTGGGCAGCCCAGACGTTCTGCCCCATGCAGCAAGAACCCCCAGGGTGTCGGCGGAAGGAACCGCAGGCCAGGGTGTCGTGTTCTCCATGGGCCAGGAGCCCTGAGCCCTGCCATGCCTTCCTAGTGCATAGATAAGAACCATCAGTAATTAGCACATGCTCTATCCATTTAGGTACCATATTAATCCAGGACATTTAAAGAACCAGCTAGTTGGTTTACTTCTATAGTGTAAAAAATCCCCTTGTAATCTTAGCAAATCCTTGTTTTAGAGAAAGCTAAACGTCTGCTGGTCTTGAGCCCCTGAGATTAAGAACTCAGGTGGCTGAGGTCTGCAAGCCAAGGGGGCATGCTGGCACAGGACAAGGGGTCAGCTCCATCGTGTTCAATTCAGCAACGCTTTTGAGTGCTTCCAGGGTCAAGAAGACCCTGCTGGTGAATGTGAGTGAAAATCCAGCTGCTGCTGCTGCTGCTGGGAACTGCAGAGCATGTAAGACACTCACAGCTCGGCCCGCGCACATTTAATGCTCACAGACACCCAGTGCGTCTGGTGGGATAGGTGAGCAGTTGTCAGCTGGAATCCCCATTTTCCAGCGGAGGGAGCTGGTGACCAGGGCTGTGGATCCAGCAGGAGGGAGTAAAGCCGTGGCTGTCACGCAGGCAGGCCCTTCACTCGCACTGGGCTACAGCAGCATTCCTGTCCTTGAAGGATCTACAGATGGGAAGAGAGTGTTAATAAGCAAGGGGACAAAATAAGGCTTTGTGGAAGTGGAAGAAGAGGCCCCTGTGGGTTCCAGCCTTGTGTAAACGTGCTCCCATGCCACAGTGCTTGGAACAGGAGCTGGCTTGGAGCTGGGAGGTGGCTGCACCGGGAGGCGGGGAGAATGCTGGGCAGGGGGTGGTGGAGAGGGCTGGGCTGGTGGGAGCGGGAGCTGCCAGGGCTGGGCCTGAGTTCCCCTGGGCGCCGGAGTTCTGTGGGGGGCTGAGAAGCCCCTTCAGGTCAGCCCACAACAGCTGTCTGATTTTTTTCCTCTGTTTCCAGAACAATTTTAAGCCCGGGAGCCCCCAAGAAAGCCCAAGAGGACTCCCTGCCTGTGCCCTCAGACCAGCATTCACTCCCTTTCCTGTAGGTTGGTTCCAGTTACTCAGATGACAAGGGTTTGTCCTGTGTAGACCAAGACGGCGCTCCTGACCCGGCCTCTGAAGGGCCTGTTGGGGTCTGCGTTCCCTGCAGGGGACGGTTACCCTGAGCTGCCCGCACTCTCTGACCTGGTGCTCCTGGCAGAGTGAGTGGCTGGGTCAGGACTCGGGCAGTGGCCAGGGAGGGAGGCAGGGACTGGGGCCAGGCTCAGCATGCACTTAGGATCAACTTGGTCTGGGGCAGGGGTTAGGGTCCTGGTCTGGGGTCAGCATTCAGCCTGGGGCAGGGGTAGCCTGCCATTGCCTGGGGACCAGAGTTTACTTCTGTGAGCAGCCACCTGGTTCCGAAAGAGGAGGGGGCCAGGTTTCCCGGGGAAACCCTGACTGTGTGGGGAGAGCCTCAGCCCCCACCCTGGAGTGAACTGGTCTCGTTCCCAGTGGGCTCGCTCCACCAGTAGGAGATGGGCATTGGAAGCTGCGTCCCGGGTCTGGGGCGGAGGAAGGACAACCCATCTGCACCCCTATCAGGTTCTCCTTGCCCCGCAGGGGAGGGTGGCACACCCCTCTGAAGACAGGCTCTGCCGTGAATGGGCAGAAGTGCAGCCAGGAAGCTTTCAGCCCAGGGACGTCCCCCCATAGCCAGAGGCTTCCGGTTCACCTGGGCTCCATCTTCCACTTGCAAAGCACCTCCTGCCCTGCCTGGGTGCACGCAATCCTGGTGCTCTTGGTAGGGGTCAGCAGCAGGGAATTGAATTGTTACCTCATTTTGCAGATGTAGAAACTGAGGCCCGGAGAAGGAAAGTGGCATCACCTAAGATCACCCAGCAAGTCAGTGGCCAGACACAGCCTTGAGCTCAGGTGCCCCGACTTCCCCGCTGGGCCTTTCCAGGCTGGCAGGGAGCACCGAGGGTTGGCTCATCCTCGCAGCAAAGGAGGAGGTGTAGTGGGCAGGGAAGCTCCCAGATCTGCTGAGCTGAGCTAGCTGGGGTGCCAGCGTGGTGGGGAGCACTTCCTGGGGACTGGGTGGGGTTCTGGGCATGCACAGCATCAGGAGGGACCTTGTGGAGTGTGTTTGGCTCAGTCCCCCTCTTTCTGTGGACCACCAGAATCCGGCGCTATGCCGATCCCCAGGATCATAGAGGTGAAGAAGACAGGGGTGCTGCCTGCTAACCACCCCCCCCCAAGGTATCTGTCTAGTGTCCCGCTGGGCGTTTCCTGGGGCTGCAGCCCCGGCAGCCCCTGTACACAAAGACCACCATAGAAACCGTGTGCTGGATCCCGGTGGTAGATGTGAGTGCTGAGACCTGGAAATGGCTGGGACCTTCCTGTGGACACAGTGGCGCGTGGCAGAGCCAGGCCTGCAGGCCAGGCCTCCCCAGCTGGCATCCCTGGTCCTGGGCCCTGCACCCGCGATGGGGTCTCCCGCCTCTGATTCAGTCTGCTGCTGCTCTCTAGACAGGCCCACCTAGAACCTTCATCTGAGTTTCTTATTCTTCCTTGGATCCAACTCAGGATTTATGTCACCAGACAGCCTAGCTTCATCTCTTCCTCTTGATTCAGTTCCTTTTCCCTTTGCACTAAGTGTCCTACTTTTCAGAGATCTCTTTCTTTCTCCCACCCTTGTCTCTGGCTTTCCTGCCACTATGCTGTTCTCTTTGTTTTCAGAGAGTCCTTTTGCATGGAGTCATTGAAGCTTTGGAGAAGTCCTTTCCCCTAGACCTGTGTCCCCTGAGAGCCCCGCAGGGTCAGCCCTCCCTGCACTGCGCTTTGATCTGCCCTCCACTCCCTCCCTGTCAGAACCACACACCTGCACCAGGCATAGAATTTGCAGCTAACATGTCACTAAGTGGTCTTTAGGATACTCTCAAAAAAAATCTCTTAAAAATTCAGAGGAGTCTGTGTTTACTTTAGAAACATCTAGGGGCCAAGAAGGGCAAGGACAGTTGTGGAACTAAAGAAAGAGGGTTTGCAGAGGAGAACAGCTAAAGCTTTAGAATTCGGGGTGAGGGCTTAAGCTTGGTGTGTAGGAGGCAACCGCTGAAGTTGGGGGTCTCCTGGACCCTGGTTTCTGCAGTTCCGCCAGGCCAATGTGTGAGGGGTCGCTGGCCGTCGGAGAGACTAACCAACTGTTCAGTATGGGCAAGGTAGATGTTAACTTTGAAGAATAGAATAGCTGCCATTCCTGTATACTCAGTTAAGCTCTTTTAAGTATTGAGAAAAACATGCTTATTTCAGTCAGTCTCTTTGTATGTGTATAAAACAGACCTTTGACATTCACTGAGGACTCATGAACCTTCTCCAATACACGAAACCCCCATAACAAACTTTGACGTGCACCCGGAGCCCCTAGGGATCTTGTTAAAATGCCAGTTCCAAGCCAGGGCCTGGGGTGGCACCTGAGAATCTGCATTCCCCAGAAGCTCTCAGGTGGTGCTGGTGCTGATGGTCTGAGGACCACAGCTCGAGTAGCCAAGCATCAAACCCACCCTCAGCCTTCACGTTCTGGAAAATGGGGCTCCTGGTATCAAACCCACCCTCAGCCTTCACGTTCTGGAAAATGGGGCTCCCCGTGCCCACCCGGAAGTGTGGTAGGAATTGGAAGAAGCTGTTTATTAAATGAGAACCCCAAGCCCCACAAGGCACAGATGCCGGGCAGGCCTGGACTTGCCCCATCTCGGAAGTGTGTAATATTAATACAACTTCCCGCCTCAGCAAAATGATGTGTGACCACCTGGCAGGTACCTCAGACTCACTGTCAAAGAGCCAGGAGCACCAGAGGCCAATCCGTGAATGCCAAGGCCTGGTCTGTCGTGTGTGTGTTTCTGTCCTTATTTGTCTCATGCAATTTATTAATCCACTGGCCAGTCCCCGGAGCCTCAGCGCCATGTAGCACCCGAGGAGGTGAAGTAACATCTCTTTTGCAGCGTGACAGGATGACACAGCGTTGAATCCATCTGTCAGAGAAGGACGTGTCCATGGCTTGTGGCAGTCCAAGCAGGAGCAGGGCCAGGAAGGGCTGGAGAGGGGAGACGCAGCCCGAGACCTCTCAGAGGTGGAAGCCCTGGGCCCGCCCAGGGAGAGTAGTGCTAGATTTCCTTGAGGTGACTTCTCTCTGCAGGCCATGGGCAGGACCCAACGTGCTCCCCTCAGCCCCAGCCCTTATCTTGAACTTTTTATCCAGAAGTCCAGCCCAGCGCTGTCCAACAGAATGCTCCACACTGATGGAAATGCCCGATGTGGTAGCCACTGCCTACATGTGGGTGTCCAGCCCTTAAAATGTGGCCAGGACAACTGAGGAAGTGGATTCTTAATTCGGTTAATTTTAATTCAACTAACCACATATGGGGGTGGCTATCATATTGGATGGTGCACGTCTAGACGGATTAACAATCCACTTAATTCAACCTATCTCTGCTCCCCTGTGCGTGCCGATGCTGACATATGTATGGGGGCGCTGCGTGGCGAGTGGAAGCCGTGAGCAGAGGGGCGAGGGAGGGAAGGGGGACCAGGGGATGCCCAAGTCGACCTTCACAGCCAAGCCCAGCGCCGGCCTGATTCCAGGCAGTGCGTGAGGTCCACGGTCTCCCTGAGTGACCTTGACGAGGCCGTGCTCTAAACTTGGAGCTGACTCTGGAGGAGCCACTGGCTTCCTGTGCGAGACCCAGCCCAGGCCTCACCCACCTTCCGAACACACACCTTCCCCCTAAGCAGTCCCAGCGTGAGCGCTCGGCGTGTGCGTGCGTGTGTGGCCATGCACACGCATGCCCACGCATAGGCGCACATTTCTCTGTCCAGAGCTGCCCGTGTCTCAGCCCTCGGCTTCCTCATTCTCCTCCACTGTCCTGGCCCCTGTGTCCCCCCACCCCTCTGTCCTCCGCCCTCCCTGTGATCTGGTTTGCCCTGCGCCCCACCTCAGTCTCTTCACTGCCCGAAGCCCCAGCTGACAGAAGTGCTGATCTTGTCACACCCAGCAGCTGCGTGCAGAAATGCTACTGCAAGCCACAGCGCGCTCAGCAGCACTCTTGCAAGATGTCAGAACTGTCCACCATTACTCTGTAAGTGTGCCTGGCCGTGGCTGTGGCCCGGAGTCCTGGAGGGGAGGGGGACGCATGCTGCCACCACGGCTGCTGCTGGAGGAGAGTGGAGAGCCAGCCTGTGCCTCCCAGCCCCGCCCCGTTCCCCATTCCCGGCTGTTGCATGTTGACGTCTGTGTGTCTTGTGAGTTCTCTGCAGCCTTGTGGGGGAGGGCAGGGCATGGGGACGGGGCTGCGGCCATGGCGGGAGCGCCCGGGGCTTGGCCCTTGCTGACCAGGAAGCAGCTCTGCGGTTCTGCTGCCCCCGCCTCATGTGTGGCCTTCCCCAGTCCCCCACCTCGCTGGGCTTCGGCCTTTGCAAATGCGAATTGCTTCTAAGAGTCGTAGAGCATAGACTGTCACTCTGCGCAGGGCAGGGGACCTCGCTTCAGTGTCCATAGCACTTTACGTGTGAGTCAGCATTGACCCACTTAATCCCCACGACAACCCCAGGAGGTGGGTCATGGTGTTAGTATCATCCCCACTTTATAGATGAGAAAACTGAAGCAGAAAGAGAGCGAAGGTTTGAACCCAGGGCGCCCTGAGCACTGTGCCAAGGTGTCTCTGACTAGACTATCGGTCTCAACTGGGACATCTCTTCCAGTGAGGGTGCCACTGCCCCCCCTCCCCCCCGGGGCAGCCCACTGTGATTGGGACAGCTCTGGCGCTGGGAGTTCTTGGTATTTTAGGACTCTCTTTCCCCCATTGGTGGCTCCTGGGGGCAGGAGGACGGAGGCCTAGGCCCTGTGTCGCTGTCTCTCTGGGTTAATCTGATCATAGTGTGCGACCTGCTTCATATGCTCCTGTCCCAGGTCAGCTTGGAAAGACAGAAGTCCCAGAGCCCTGGGCTCTAGAGACCTCCTTGTTTGTCCTCACTGCCCCGTCTGCAGAGGGGCCACCCGGTGCCCTGGGTCCCTGGCAGGGGTCCCCGGCTGTGCTGGGCTGTGCAGGGCTGCGGGGGAGGAAGGGGTTGTCCTTGGGCTGCACTGGGGGCTGCCTCACTGTCGTCACGTGCCCGCTCTGCGTCTGGGGAGGGCTGAGCCTGTGCCCTGAAAGGCCGCTTGTTCCTCACACTCTGAGCCCATCCTGTCTCCTGCCACCACGAAAGCAAGAGAGGTTTGCCTTCTTGGTTTCCAGGGTTCTTTTCAGACTGAGGGGACGAATACCTGGAAACAGACCTTTCTGTAGGAAGGGGGCCAGGAGGAGGAGGGCAGGGGCCGCAGGCATGTCCCAGGGCTGGCTTCCCTTCCCGGGTGCCTTTGGTAAACGTCTCTTTTAAAGCACAGGTCTTACAGGTAGGGCCACTGAGGAGTCCCCAAGATGTCATGTATGTGCGTTTCTGGCCACTTTCCCCTGCTTTTCTGACTTTCATTCCTTCTGCAAACACCGCTGCCTTCCGGTGCCAGGCACTGGACACCCTGGGCCAAGCAAGCCCCGAGCCCCGGGAGGTATATTTAGCTTTGAGCATGCCGAGGGGCCTGTGCAGCCCACGGACTCGGTCACGGGGCAGGCAGTTTCTGAACACCAGCCCCGGCAGGGCGAGTGCCCGCCACGGAAGGCAGCAGAGATAGAGGAGGCTGAGCGGCCGGGCCACTCAGCTGCACAGCTGGGCCGAGAGCAGGGACCTGCTCACATCCCACTGGCCCCGGCTTTGGCCTGGGGACCCCCGGGCCTGCAGCACGTGCTGCTGTGAGCAAGGAAGAAGCAGGCAAGACCCCCACACACCAGGCCTCTCCTTTCCTGCTGAGCTTCCCCCGCCTGAAGGTCTCCTCAGGCTCCTCCTCCTCCCCCCATGTCTCCTTCCCTCCTTTTTCATCTCCGGGCTCCATCCTTCCTTCTCCTTTCTCAGGAGGAGCTGGGCAGCCAGGGCCTCACCCAGACACCCTGGGTTCATCTTCCCTAGAGACCCAGCGCTCCCACGTCCAGCAGAACGTTGTCTCCCAGAAATGCTTGATGGGGCAGAGGGAGGGGTACACGGTGTAGTTGCCTTGAATCAAATGGCTGCCCTCACGCCTGCCGTCCACCCCTATGGACAAAGCTCTGCTGGGAGAGGGCAGGGCTGATCCCCAGGATGGGCTGGGCTGGGTGCACTGAGGGGCAGACTGCATTTGCGGGGCAGGGCTGGGTGGAGGTGGGGTCCCACTCTGGGAGAACCCCAGGAGCACCCTGCCCCATAGAGCAGAACCCCCAAGTGCACACGCCCTTGGGGTCCTGACACGGGCACCTGTGCCCTACACCCCTGCACCCCTGGAACACAGCGTCACCCCACTGTTGGCCTAGGAGCCAGTGGAAGGAAGCCTGGGGGAGCTGCCTCGAGGGGGAGCACAGGCCCTTTGGCTCTTTCTCCCCTGCCTGTCCCGCCTCCGAGCAGGCATGCTCCTCTGCCTTTGACTCAGTGTCCTGGACACAAGGCCTCTCCTGCCCAGCTGGAGATTGCCTAAGTCAGTAAGTCCTTCCGAGAGTCCCTCCCAAGTCTCTCCTGAGTTCCACCCACTGTGCCCTCCCTCCCACCCTGTGATCAGCAGCTCCCATCACTTTTGGTGACTGTCTTTAGATAGTCCCAGACTCAGGAAAACCAACGTCTCTGCGCCCCGTGGGGGCTGCTCTTTGCGGGCACAGGAGCTTCCTTCCAGAGCAAGAGGATGTTTGCTTTGCTCGAGCACCGCTCAGTTCCCTCCGGGCTTCTGAGTCCTGTCCTGTGTTTTGCCTGGACTGCGCTTTCCCTGAGGGTTTTGTGCATCACACAAGGGGTCCCTGTAAATCAACATGCACGTTTTTAGTGGTTCTGCAGGACACAGACTGGGTGCTCTGCCGACTCCCCATAATATCCTGGGGAGTCCTGGAGGCCCAAGCTGCAGACTGGGCATGTCCCCCACAGTATCTTAGGGAGTCCTGGAGGCCCAGTGTCTTGTCGGCCAGCATCTCTCCCAGGCTGCTTGTGCTGGGAGAGAATGCTGAGGGGTCTGTGACAGAGCCCCAGCTCTGGGGGGCAGCTAGGGGCTGAGGCCAAGCTCCCCACCCTCCGTGGCCCTGGCCTCAAGCCCTGGCAGTGCCCGGGCTGATATCTTGCTTTTTCCCGACAGACGGCTGGCCCGGTCCACCCTGCTGCTCATCCCACTGTTCGGAATCCACTACACTGTATTCGCCTTCTCCCCAGAGAACTTCAGCAAGAGGGAAAGACTCGTGTTTGAGCTGGGGCTGGGCTCCTTCCAGGTAGGCAAGGCACGTGTGGAGGGCAGAGTTCACCGGGAGCCAGGGCCCTGGCCTCCCCCCTGCCAGTTGTTCTGGATCTCTTTAACCTAGATTCAGGGCCTCGCTGTTTCTGTGTCTGAAGTAAGAGCACTAGAGTGGAAGCAAGTGGTGGGAGCCCCGTCAGCTGTCTCCCACTGGGCTCCTGTAAGACACACTAGTGTCTAGCCATTGCTGTGTCCTAAGCCAGGCCACCCAGGTGATCTGAAGTGGCAGCTCCCATCAACCTGGGGCGCAGGTGGAGTGGCCTCAAGAGCTTGGTTTGTGCACATCCTGACTTTATCCTGCTAGTCCATGCCCCTGAGAGGGCTGGCGTTGTCTTACCCAACTCAGGGTCCCCAGCGCAGGACTGGGCCGCCGGGAGCTGAGTGAGCTAGACAGGTGCATCAGTGAGCGAGCGATGGGATGAGAGGGTGAAGGGCATCAGACCTCCGCACCTGAAGGAAGGGGTGCATGGGCTGTCAGGGAGTGAGTGCAGGGCGGGGTGCACCACAGCGGGGACAGGAGTAGTAGTGGGCCCGTGAGGGCAGGCTGGTCCCCTTGACAGAGGGCCTCCCCTTAAGCCAGCTGCTTAAATTAGGATTTGCTTCTGATGGTCAGAAAGTTACTCTGCACATGTGATTTGACTTTCCCTCTGGACCCGTTATAATTCAAGGCTGTTTCACCTGAATTGGGCTCTTAGCCTGGGAGGCTGGGAGTTGTACAGACAAAGCCCTGCTTGGGAGTCAGAGCCCAGGGCTCCTGTCTGTGCTCACTGGCGAATTCTGGGGGCCTTAAGCCTTCATTCTTCTGATGCCTTCAAGTGACAGCGCAGGGCACAGGGAATGCAAAGAACTGATGTGCAGCATTTAGGAAAATGCTGCTGCTTTGTTTGGCGAAGCTGTGCAGAACATATGTAGAATAGCTGAGCACGTCCTCTGCCGTGTATTTACTCCGTGTTGTGCTCTGCGCTGCTGTGTACCACAGTCCCTGGCCAGGCAAGATCAGCGTGGGCAGATAAAGGTCTGTTCTGTCCTGAAGGGGTCCTGCCCTCAGGGGCCTCCCAGCACATTGGGAGCCCAGAGAACATTCTAGAACATTCAGGGGAGGCTTCTTGTAGGACGTGGGATATAGCTGGCCTTTGGGGCATGGGAAGGGTTTGACTAAGGGCATGTGAGAGCCTAAGCCCGAGTGTGTCAGTGGGAGAGCACTCGCCCTCCAGGCACTTGGCTTCACGGGTGTGCCTGTCTTGGAGCAGAGCTTGTCCTGTCTCACCCCAGGTCCCTGGGCAGGTGCCCCATCCAGGTCATGGTAATTTTCTGCTTCCTGGTGTCATCGCCCCATGTCCCATGCAGCATTCTCAGGTTGATTCTTCCTTTCTCCGCAGGGCTTCGTGGTGGCTGTTCTCTACTGTTTTCTGAATGGGGAGGTAAGGCCCTGGCTCTCTGTCTTCTCACAGCAGTGCAGGGGGGCTTGCTGGCCTCACAGGGCTGAGCCCCCAGGCCAGGGCTCTGCCAGGCTACCAGCACGAGAGGAGGGGCCTGGTCACATGGCTGGCAGCATCGAGTGGTACCAGGGTCTCCTGACACCGTCTACCCTGCTCCAGAATCTCTTCCACTTGGCCAGCTGTGGAGTGAAGGCCCCACCTGAAGAGCTGAGCTCCACCTGCTAAAGGCGTCAGCTCTGCTGAGCACAGATCTCCCTGGGAGGGCTCTGTCTGCAGGCCACTCCTTAGTGAGGAGGAGTTGACAGTGAGGAAGGCCAAGGCATGGGACACAGTACCTACAGGACAGGCGGCTGTGCTGGGCAGAGCGGCTGAGCCAGGGGCTGCCCAGCCTTCAGTGCTGCCCCCTGCATCCCTGAATGTTGAATGGGGACTGAAGGTTTGGAAGAGGCCTGGAACCTTCTAGTAATCCTCCATTTCCAGAACTCTAGTTTGGGGGCTTCCTCTCTATCCTGTTGGGGTGATGCTCCTGAGCAGAGCCCAGAACAGAGGTGCCAGTGCCAGGTTGGGGACAGGATGGGTGGGATGGGTTTGAGAGTGGGCAGTTATCTTTGCACCAGTGCTGGGGCCTTTGCTGCATGACCTTGTGACCTTAGCAGGCTCCTCCCCTTTTTTGCATCCAAGAAATAAGAAGATTGGGCTCTGTGGTCACCAAGACAGACAACCTATAGAAGGCTCAGATCAGCACAGATACGGAGAGGCAGAGAGGGCCATGCAGGCAGCGGCTGGGAGAACTGAGAAGTGGGAGTATGTGTAGCTTGTCCAGAGCCTGCAGTGGAAATGGGAGCTAGAACTGGAGAGAGTGGGTGTGGGTGCCCATTGAGGTTGTGCAGTTTGTACACTGCACTAAGGAGCTTGGCTGAGAAGGCGTGTGGAGGCTGAGACTAGGCATGGCCCCTACTTACCATGCTGAGAGCCGCATGGGGGTGTTATCCCAGGGGGTGCATTATTTAGTGGTTCTCCACCCTACTGCACATTGGAATCCCCTGGGAAATTTTTAAAAATATAGATATTTGGGTCTCACCTAAAGATTTTGGTGTAATTGTTCTGGGGAATGGTCTGAGCATTTGGAGTTTTCAGAGCTCCTCAAGTGACTTCACGGGTCCTTCCCCTGACCTGCCTGCTTGTTAAAGCTTTCCTGAGAGAGTTGATAGACTAGTCTCTGGCCCACAGACAGCGGGAGGCCCTCAGTGGGCCTTGCTCAGTGACCAGCGAGGGGGAAAGGGCTGTTCAGGCCCGCTCTCAGAGGCATTCCTGCCTGCGGCTGGCAGAAGCCCCTCTGGAGACCTCGAGGGCTGCAGGCTGTGACAGGGCAGTAGGGACGGCCCTGGAGGTGGCAGTGCCAGGCTGGGAAGGGCCGAGGCCAGGGCAGGGCCTGGAGGATGGAGAGGATGTTCACCCAGAATTGACCGCCCAAGTTGCTCCCCGCAGGTGCAGGCGGAGATCAAGCGGAAGTGGAGGAGCTGGAAGGTGAACCGCTACTTTGCCGTGGACTTCAAGCACCGACACCCGTCCCTGGCCAGCAGTGGGGTGAACGGGGGCACCCAGCTCTCCATCCTGAGCAAGAGCAGCTCCCAGATCCGCATGTCCGGCCTCCCAGCTGACAACCTGGCCACCTGAGCCGCCCTCCCCTCCTCCTGTCCTGCATCCACAGGCTGGGGCCGTGGGCAGGTGCCGGCCCACGCATGTTCGCGCCTCTTCCCTCCCCTCGGGCGGGCCCTGGACTGGAAGCTTGGCTGCCCAGGGGGAAGAAGGAGGCAGGGCAGACTGTGTTGCCCCTCCCCATTTTGGTACTGGCCCCACCCACCATGGTCCCCTGGGCCCTGACCCAGACATGTAAATACTCCTCGAATTTGACAAAGTTGTCCCATTCCTTCCCCTTCTGCCCCCATGTCCCTGTTCCCCTCAAGCCAGGCCTCAGCTCCACCCCACTGTGTCTCGGCCAGCCTCAGTGATGGCCTGACGCCAGCCGTGAGGCCTTGTGAGCTAAGGCTGAAGAGACCTTACTTTGGGAGGCTGGGGTGGTGCCTGCCCCAGTAGCCCCAGCATTGCGTGACTTTGGATATGGACTTCCCGAGTCTGCACACCCCCTTCGGGCCCTTCCAGGTCTGGGCCCAGTCCCCGAGGTCCATCAGAGGTCCAGCTCGGGTGGCCAGAGTGTCCTTCAGTGGCTCCCCACTGGCCACCTGGCATCTTGGGGTCCAGGTGCTCAGCTCCTGGATCCCAGGGCAGGGGGACAGCTGCAAGGCTCTTCCAGTCAGAGACTTCAGTGTGGGAGGGGGGGCGCTGCAGGTCAGGGAAAGTTCTGGTGCTTTTCATTTGATCCAAGCAAGAGCTGAGAGCCAGAAATGTGGACATGATCGGGAAGGAGATGGAATGAGTTTGGGAGATCCATGGAAGAAGACCTTCACCAACTTCATTATTTTGCACCCAATTCAAGATGGGCAAGGCTCATCTCATGGCTTCCCCTCTGCCCCTCCTGCCTCCACTAGGTACCCCAGAGAAGCTGCTCCCTAACCACACCCACCACAGAGAGCCCCTAACCCCCACCCCCTGGCCCATTTCCCCCTAAGTCAAAGCCATGACTAGGATGAACCAGCCGCCTGCCTGTAATGTCAGCGAATCCCGAAGCACCTTCCACCTCCACGCACCCAAGTCTGGGGCCAGGGCACCTTCCCCCCACCCCACAATGAGAAGGAGCCCCAGACACCAGCTCCTTGGTCCTGGACTCAGCTACTGAAATCTTTCTGAGACCTCTGCAAAGACTTCCCTCTGTCTTTGAGTCCCTTAACCTTGAGTCACCGTGGGCTGCTAGGGTGTCTGGAGGAGAAGCCACACCCGCCATGCCCACCAGCAGAAGCTGCTGCCGATACGGGCGGCTGCTCCCCAGCACCCATCCTGACCCCCAGCCGCAAGTCGCACAGCTACAGCCCAAGAATGTAAAACAGGGCAGTGCCACGTTGGGAGGGGAGGAAAGTGCTGGAGTGCTGTGAGGGCCCCGTTCACTCCGAGTGAGCTCAGTGTTGTTCCTGCCCAGGTGTGTTTGCAGACTTGTTCCGTGATCGTGTCCTGGAATGCCTGGGGAATCTGGGGGGACAGGATTGTTGTTTTGCTTGGTTTTAGGAAGAGGAAGGAGCCAGGTGGACGAGGGGAGACACTTTTGCAGAGGCCTGCAGAGTGACTGGAGGGGGCTCTGGTTGTAATTTAGAAAGGAGTGTCCTTGGCCAGTAAAGTCAGTCCCTGGGTCTTTGGCAAAGCCAGAGGGAGAAAGGAGCTACCTGCCCTATCCTGGGCACATTTGGTGACTCAGACTGACCATGGGGTGTGCAGTGGCCCTTCCACCTGTACCAGGAGCTGGGTGTGTCACCTAAACGAGTGTCCCCTGGCCATCTTGCACTTTGGACACTTCTAGGGGGACTGGGATTCAGAGACCTAGAATCTGCTTGGGGGGTAGGGGGGTTTAGACTGCGGTGTCCGTGGACATGATGCTCCCTGTCTGGGCCTCAGATTCCGCATTTGTGAGATGAGGAAACTTCTAACGCTTCTCCAGGCTCTGTAACTTTCCAGTTCAAAGCTGAGGCAGGTAAGAGGGCATGCATCACTGTGTGTGCCATCTAAGGTTTGTGTGTGTGTGTGTGCGTGTATGGAGGGAATGCCGTTCATTTTCCCTTTCTTAGGAACAGAACTTCTGTCTCTTCCATTTGGACACCACAGTGGATGCTGGAGGACTGGAAGGAAGGCTCAGGTCAGGGACATTTGAGCAGGTGCCTTGGGCATGATGCATAGACCAGCCACGGGTACCTGGCTGGGGCAGGCTGCCTCCTCCAGATCAAAAGGGGAGTCCCCTGGGGACAGACCCCATGCACTCACCATTGCCCCACCATTGTCTGCTCACTGTGGAAGAAGAAACTTAGACTTTGTAGAGACGACATCACAAAATAGCCAAAACAAATCAACCCTGAGCCCCATGCGCCATGCTGCTACCTGAGCCCTGGGTCTGCGTCCTCATAGAGGTTCCAGGTTCCAGTTTGTTGGTTGGTTTGCTTTTCCGTCAAAATGAACTTTTGCCAGTCTTGTGAGCATATATACCCCGATACATTCTGAACGTTCCAGGAGGTTCTGGCCTTCACGGTCACAGGCTGTGGGGAGGGTGGCAGCATGAGGTCTAGGTAAAACCCATCCCTCTCTGACTCTCTTGTTTTTGAATCCATAAAATGTGCAATGAGACTAGATGATGTGTATATAGCCCCATGCATCCCTGGAATTCTCTGTCTAAACACCAGCCATCTGCTTGGAACGGGCTCAGGATTGCGGTGTTTGGACCAGGAGAGGATGGGATGAGAACTCCTGTCATGTGAGGAGGGCTTGGGAGACTCGGCAGAGTGGGGCTGGGGAGGAGCAGAGCTGTCAGCCCCCTGCCTATAGGGGCTCACTCCTGGGAAGCGTTTCTTCTTCTATGCAATCCTAAAGGACAAGACTCACCCCTGGGAGGCTGACTTCTCCTGTCGTGACCGTGTAGCTTTGCAGCAGGCAGGCAGTGCCAGGTGAGGGACTCTAGTCTTGAGGGAACTGCAATTCTAAGCCAAGGATGCTGAGGCTGTCAGGGAGACAGGGAGGCGTGTGAGTTGAGTTTGGGTGTCTCAGTGGCTTTTTGGTGTGCCCAGCCCTGTGGGCTTTGTGATTCCTGCTGTGCTTCAGGCCAAGCCTCAATCCCCATCTCCGTGGGCAGTTCTCTGACTCTCCTTGCTACGTCCAGTGCCCTACAGTGACTCCTTCTTTCCTCTAACGCCAGCCCCTTCGAACTGGGGTCTCTTGGTGATAGGGCCAGGGAGCTAGAGTCCAGCCCAAGGCGTGAAATACACCGTCACCCACCCAGGGTGCCAACTCACCTCCTTGACCTAACCCTCTCTCTTCCTGGAAGGGAAAGCTCAAAGCAGCTCTCCTTTTCTTTGAGTAGTACCCTTGCCCCCTGCAGGGCCACTCCAAAGTGAAATCAGTGAGTACTTTGTCATCATAAGCCCCTGCTTGAACCCAGGGACCATGGAAGTCAGCTGGAAGAGCCCTGAGTCTGCTGGTCTGCTGTTTGACCTTGACTCATTCCCCATATACCAGAGCTGGGAGGAAACTTGGAGACCTGTGGGTCAAACCTCTCCATGGGTCTGCTGAGAAATCAGGTGGACCTGGCATGGTGCCCGCCATCTGTGCTTTAGACACCTGAATGAGGAGATGGCCCTGCCAGTATGTGCACAGCCCTGCATGTGAGCCAGGACGTGACACCCAGAGCATCCACGCAGTAAACATTTCACCTTGCGCAGGAGAGGGGCCCTGGCTACAGAAGGTTGTTGAGGACTCCAGCCTGCAGAAGCAGTGGAGTCAGTGTGGCACGGGGCAACCTACTCTCTGATCCAGGGGTTACCCTCTCTGCGCCTCTGCCTTCTAACCTGAGAAATGGGAAGAACATGATTTGCACTGTCAGCCCCACACGCCAGGGACGAGTTTGAAGAGGCGTGCCCTTATGTGTGAAAAGGTTTTGGAAACTACACAGATGTGGGCTTGTTACCAGGGTAAAGGCCCCTGGAAGAGATTCTCTGCTATTTCTCTGCTTCTTCGAGCCCTCCTGGGAAACCTTTGCCCAATTTGTAAAACCACCAGCATAGAGGTTAGGGGAGAGGCCAGGAGGCTCTCGTGGACACAGAATTTCTGCTTTGTCTTCATCAGCTGATTCAGTTTGCTCCTGGGATTAGGGTAGGAAGACGTGGGTGATGTCAGCATTTCCTTGCCACCCCCCCTGGGAATACTTCAAGGATTTGGAACATTCCTCAAGTGGGCTGCGTGCCCATTTATTCTTTCCCCAAACTCCAGGCCCTGGTATGTGTCTGCTTTTGGCCATGTGTCCTGTCTGATGTCTGTCTTCTGTAGCTTTGCCCCTGTTGGGGCTGGAGTGGTGCGGCCCCCTGGAACTCCGACACTGTCCCCAGCTCACCTGAGGGAGCTGGGACAGCCTGGGTTTCATCTCCCACTGTAAAGGTCGGCCCCACAGACCTTACTGCTACCGCTGCCGCCGTTAATGCTGTGCTCACAACCTTGTCCGAGATTTTAAGGACGTCAAACTGCTGTAGATGACTCAATAAATGTTTTACCATTTGTCCTGGTGGCTGTAACTTGGCAGAAGCAAAGGGGAGGGGAGGATAGGAGGTGGAAGGGGAGAGGCTTCCCCCCAAAATCTGATCATCTCAGAGTAATCCAGTCTACGAGGCCCAGTGGCCTTTTAGATTCCAAGGGAGAGAGAATGGGCCTGAGTGAGCTTAGGATGGACTTGGAAAAGTAAAGAAGCCTGGCCTCAAAAGGATCTGCACGAATCACACAACTTGAATGGACTCCAGATCACTCGGAAGCCTTGGGTGCCTAGAAATGGGGGCGGCTCACCCACAGGCTTTGGTGTCCTATAACCTTCATGTTGTTTTCAGAGAGCACCCACCAGATATCCCAAACCTTGCCTGCAGGGGAAATTTCCTCCCAGGTAGACGCAGGTGTATGCTGGGCTACTAAAGTCCCATCTCCTAATACTTATGGAGATTCTGAGCCATCAATCCCTGCCAGACCAGATAACCAATTCAAGGCAACCCTCATTTCCTTGAGGTTCTATTGATTTTCACAACTCCAGTGTCCATTTTTTTCTTGTATTAGTCACAATGCTTAGTTGCTTGCAACAGAAGATAATTTTGGTTATAAGTCAGAGAGGAGTTTGTGAAAAAGATGTTGGGCAGGTCGTGGAATTCTCATAAGGCTGGAAAAACCAGAAAAAGGTATCTGGAGCCATAGCATGCCACAGAACTGAAGACAAAACTGCTGACGCCGTTGCTGCTGCCAGCCACAGTGACGTCTCTTCCATGCCAGGGCCCTGCCCTCACCGTCACTGCCATCCCTGAGAGCAGGTGGCTTTGCTGCCGTTCTCACCAACAAATCAGATCCACCTGCAGCCTCTTCTCCAAGTTGCTCACTTCCAAATCAAAGTCACATGTGACATCACTGGATTGGGCGTGTCCTAGCTATAAGAGAGACTGGAAATTGGACTTTTCTGGATTCTACCTTGGGGAGGCCAGGCTCACAAGTCTGAAGTTTCTAAACATAACAATAGTATTTTTAAAAAATTCTGGGAATAATAAATGCCCACCACAACAGGCCTGTGGTCTGCAGCCATTGCAGAGCCTGCTCCCTCCAGTGTTAAGATGGGCCACACTGGAGAAGTCAGGTCAATGGAAAGATGAATCCTGGCCCGGTAGGGTGAGAGCCTCCAAGCAGGCAGGCCGGATGGGTCACTCATGGAAAGCACCCAGGTGTCCAGTGGGGGGTTTCTGAGCTTGGAGGCTGGTTGGCTCTACTTCCTGAGGCTTCCCCTGCTCTGTCCTATCTGGGTCCACCTCTTCTTTCATTCCTAAGGGAGATCACCAGGCTAGATTGTGGGACCCATTTAGCAGCTATCTCGAGTGCCTTCCAAAGTGGAACGTATGCTCATGTTCCCTAGAGCTTAGAAAAACACTACTCTTTCTGCTGTGACCATAATGAATTGATATTCCATGTGTTTCATTCTTAGAAAGAGGTCACATTCAAGAAGCAAAGGTCAGGAGCCAGAAGAAAGCTGAAAGGCTTGAATTCCATAGTAGGCTTGAATTTCTTGGCAATCGTGGAGATCATCAAACTACTTAGTCCATGTGAGCACTTATCAAATTCCGTTTCCTCTGTCCACCTCCCTGGTGTTGATGGGCTAAGCCTGCTGTTCTCCCAAGCCCCTTGAAAGAATTCCCCGAATCCTGCCTATTCCTGCTGACGCTCTGTTCTACTGCTACTGTGAGTACTTTCTCTTGGGAACCCGGTGGTTCTTAAACTTTAGGCTGTATCAGAGTCACCCCAGGGGCTGTTAAAACACAGATTGTGGGATCCACCCCCAGAGTTTCTGATCCAGCAGGTCTGAGGTAGCGCTTGACAATTTGCATTTCCAAGAAGTTCTCAGGTGTGGCTGTTGCTGCCAGACTGGAGACAATAGTTTGAGAAGCACTGCTCAAGAGGCTCTAACTGAGGACAGTCCCTGGGCACCACAGTCCCTGTTCGTGACCCTTAGGCCTGGGCCATAATCAACTTCCCAGGAGGCAGAGCACAATCATAGATTTCAGCAACACGATCTTTAATTTGTTTTTTTCTCTCAGAACGATGTCTTAGGAACAGGAGGCAAAATGATCCCAGAGGAAATCAGCCTGTAGATGTCCATTTAGGCTCAATCAAAGTATTAGACCATCCCTGCATCAATTGGGATTTGAGATCAGTGGGTGATAATGAAAAACCCCAATAAAAAGTGGCATAAAGAGGACAGTTTATTTCTCTCATATCAAGTCCAGAGGTAGATAATCCAGAACTGGTATTATGGCTTCGTGGGCTCATTGTCTTTCTGCTCCTCCATCCTCAGCAGGTGTGCTCCAGTCCCAAAGTCACTGTAAGGTCCAGCATGGCTCCTGGAGCTCTGGATGTTACTAGACTTAGGAGGAAGTGGGAGAAGGCAAAAGATGTCTCCTTCTTTAGTCTTCCTCTTTTAAGAAGCCTTATATCTGCTTACATCTCATTGGCCAACATTTAGTCACGTGGCCACACCTCGCTGCAAGGCAGGCAATGTAATGCATGTTAATAACATTGGAAGGAGAGGATGGATGTTTACTGGAAAACAGTACTTTGTGTCATAATATCAAACCCCCTAATCTTTGGGCAGTCCCACAGTGGCCACTGGGCTTGTGCAAAACAATAGGTTGAATGGCTGCCCCAGTAAAATGCCACATTTTACAATATTGAGAGCAAAGTAGGGCATGCAGTCTCCAACCTGGACCATAGAATGGCTCTGAAGAGTCCCCTGATCAGAATTGGGGAAGCTGCTTACTCCCACCCATGAAACCTACTAGTTTCAAGGGGTGAGGGCATGTCTGCATCATTTCTGGTTCCTTTGTACTATCTCATGGCTGCATTTCCTGAGTGAATTCTGTGCCCTTGGTGGCTTCTACATTAATTAATCTCTTTTTAATTTGAATAAAGCTCCAAGTAGTGCTGTAGTTTTTTTTGGGGGGGGTTGGGCAGGGGAGGGAATGAGGTCTTGAAATTTCCGATTGTCAGTTACTCTCAAATGAACTCAATTGAGATGCTTCTGAACCTCCTAGCTCATTAGACTGCTCCCTTGTGGATGGCCCATTGCTATAGTTCTGGTGTGAACATAGAGCTGCCTCACCCTCACCATTTCTGGATGCAAGATTATGAATTCTATGTGCGAATTCAGTCACCAAGGGCTCTCCCATATGCTCATTCTAGGCCAGAGGGGCCGTCCTTAGCACATGACAGACGTGTACATAACTACCGTGTATATCTATTCCCACTCACACAGACTCTCGGGTGGGGATTTGGGAGTGACACCTCAGCTTTAGTCAGCAGATCT